CTCTTTGGCGTGGCTTGCAGTGAAGCTTGTGGGTAGGTTCACTTGCCGCGGCACGAATGGCGCCCCGCACGGAGTGAGCGGCCTCGAAAGCAAGAGATAGAGAGCGAGAGTGAAGGAGAGAAACCCCCCTCACATGTATGGGCGGGACAACTGTGTGCCGGCCCTGGCGGCTTGAGCTGGGGTGCCAAGTTGTGCACGACGCCCAGGCTCGTCTCCAGGCGCTGCTGTCAGAGCTGCCGCGGATGCACGCGGCGGCAAAAGCAAAGGCGTCCCGCCTTCGGCACCTCCCCGCTTTTGCGTCCGCAGCTGAAGAATCATACGCACAAAGCGCGAATCGGCGGCGGGATCGGGTTGTTTGGAAAACCCGCCACTGGGGCGTGCGGCCCGCTTTTTACCTCGTGGAGGCTGAAACGACAGGAATGGGCAGGCGGGGGACGCCTGGGGCCGTGCCTGCCCCTGGCGGACGTCTCTTGGTGTCTCGCCGCAGTCCGTGCCTGGACGCAATTTTTATTTCTCGTGAAGCCTTCGTCCGTCCCAGTGGCGCTCCCGCCCGGGACGTGCGTGTGTGTGTGTTTCCGCGATGGGAGACTGGGAGAGAGAGAGTGAGAGAGCTGTGGGCCTGTGGCGACCACGACACCTTCCTCCTCCGTGGGGCAAATAAATACGGCCCTGAAATGCCTCCCTCCCCTCCCTCCCTCACTGCACTGCACTGCCCGTGCCTTGTGGCATCGGACGCAGCGGCCGGGAAAAAAAGGCTAAACGTGCCGCCTATTCGAATGTTGCTTCACGTACTGACATGCCGCAGCAAGGAAGGATGCAGTGAAGAGGATCGTGAGGGACGGTATTGCGGGCACTTTTCGCATCTCCGCCTTTTCTCACTACGCAAGAGGAACAGAGGAAGACCACACTAAAGCGTGATATATTTTTTTAACGGGTTTTCCGGGACGCACGGCCGTAATGGTGCGATTTCAGTTTCTATTCGGTTGTTTCAAAGAGCTGGCGGCGCGGCAAGAGCGCTTTTACGTGTGCGTTTGTGTTTTGTTGGCTTTTGTGTTGCGAGGGGGTGTTATTGTTGTGGTGGCTGCAGTGGGAATTCCCTGGGGGAAAAATCGTGTGAGCGCTGAAGGGCGGTTGCCGTGGCCTGAAGAGAACGAAGGGCGTGGGCGCGTGGGAGGCGTCTGCGACTGTCAAGGTTGCCATTTGCGTTTACAGTTGTGTTTCCCTTTGACTTTATCTACCGTAGCATCATTCATGCTTCGCCGAACCCGCCTGTGTCGGCTTGGCAACTACCGCCAGCATAGCGATAAGGAGCGGGAGCGCATTGCTCAGGAGCGCCAGCGACGCATTCTTTACGATCACAGCGGCAACGTCAAATTCGCTGGCCTGTTATTCCTCCTTTGGGAGGAGTTTCGCGTGCCGATTCTTTGCTTCGCCGGGGGCATCTTGTTTTTGGTTGGGTACAACAAACTCATCTATCACTTGAGCTCGCAGGAGTCTGCGCGGGAGAGGGAGCTGGACCGGCGGAGCGAGGCAAATGCGCGGCTGTCAGGGAAGCTGAAGGCGGATCGCTATTTAGTGAAGCCACGGCGTCAGGTGGAAGACCCAGACTTCTTGGACGTCCCCTCGCATGCGGGCAAGGGCGTGTACTCCAGCAAGCTCTTTGCCGAGGACGCGGCAAGCACGGACCCTCTGTTCTCCGAGCGGAGGCGGAACTGAAGGAGCAGCCACATGAAACACACAAAAGAAGCAAATCGGTGCGCGCCGCGTTGCTGACAGGGCTGAAGTTTGTATCTTCCTGCATTTCTCCTACGTCTTCAAGGAGCTCTACCCGCGACTTTTTCGTTTTTGTTGTTGTTGTTGCAAAGTTTCATCTGTATCTCTCATTGTCTGTGTGTGTGTGTGTGTGCCTTTCCGGACCAGTGAGGTTTCGTTTTTTCCTCCTCTTTTTTGCTTTTCTGCGTTGCTCTTCTCAAGCAAGGAGATACCCGTTGCGAAGGATGCCTCGTGAAATCAAGAACCTGAAGGAGTTCCTCGCCATCTGCTCCCGCAAGGACGCCAGGTGTGTGAAGGTGAAGCACAACCCCGCCGTGACGAAGTTCAAGGTGCGCTGCAGCCGCTACCTCTACACCCTCGTCGTCACGGACAAGAAGAAGGCGGACAAGATTGAGCGCTCCATTCACCCCTCCGTGAAGAAGATCACCGTCACGGCGCGCTCGCACGCCAAGACAAACGCCGGCAGCAAGTAGTTTTGCACGGCAGGGTGGCGGCACCGCCCGGGGTCGCAAGTAGTGTTCCCCAGCGCGTATTTCCTTTGAGCTTTTGTTTTGTTTTGTTTTCTAGTTGGTCATTTTATTCTCGCGGCGGCTGCCTGCCCTCACGCCTGTAGGTGTGTGTGTGGGGGGGTTACTCTTCTTCTTCCACGCTTCTGCGCGCGTGGTTGCCTCTTGTGTCTTCCCCTCGTCACCTGACGACAGTTGTCTCCATTTATTTCCTTTTTTTATTGTATTTTGCGTTGCCACTTCCCCAAAAAACCGTTTCCCCCGCAACGCGCCCACGCACCTGCGCGAGTTGTTGCGCCCTGTTCCATTCCCCTTCCGTCGTACGCACTCCGCGGGGAGGGGAGGAGAGGGGGGCACACGAGCGCGCGCGGTGGGCAGTCGCAATGGCGTGCGCGGCGACCATCCTGCGCCGGCTGGCCCAACCGAGGGAGTTGCCGCGCCGCGCTTCGGTCCGGCCATCATCGTTTCTTGCCTTGCAGCGGCGTGCTGCAAGCTCAATAGGGCAGGCAGCGGCTTCTGCGGGCGGTGAGAGACTTCGGTCCTCCGATAATAATGACGAAGTGGCTCTACTGTTTTGTGAGTGTTTCAAGGGCATGGAGGAGCTTTTGGTGCGGCGTCCCGGTCACCCAGAGCGGCGGCCTATGACCTCGCCGCTTTTCACCACACCAGCTGGGATCAAGTCTTCCGCCTCTCTGTCATCAAGCGGCGGTGGGAGGCCCGTGCGTTCGGTGACTAGTGCCAGGTCGCTCTTCCCCAGCACAGACGACCTCTTCCCTGACCTCCGTGCGCCCGGCATGCAACGAGCAAAGACGTCCTTCTTCCCCGTGTCTGGCACGTTGGAACCCAAACAGGCGGGGGCAGACTTAGATGGGAACAACGGCAATAACAGCAAACAGGCGCAGACACAGTCTCCTTCTTTGGGACGGTCGACGACATCTTCGGAAGGTCAACAGATGCCCGCAGATAAGTCCGCGACAGCAACGACAGACGCCCATGCCGATGCCCAGAGCTATGTGTACGCGTATGGTTTGTGGCAAAACCGAAACGCGGGTCTTCTACAGATGGAGGCGGACATGCAAGAGATGGCAAGTAAGGCACGCTACCTGCGCGGTGTGCAGGACGCGGCGCTCAAGGAAACCATGAGGCAAACAACACGGTTTACTTTCTACGTGGTCTTCCCCTTTGTATTCCTGGTGTGCGCCCTTCTCTTCAATGAATCCGCGCTTTACAGTTCGCAGCTTCAACACTTGTGCCTGATTAACTACGACGCATGGCTGGCAAGCAAAGAGCAAAACGGCAGCAGAAAGGGAGGCTTTGCCAGCGGTGGTAGTGGTGGTGGCGCACTAGGCAGATCCAAGCAGGGGAGGTGAGCAGCTCCACGAGGCGAAACACTGAGCTCAAACGCACATCACAGAGGAATGACCCCCCCCCCAAAAAAAAAAATAAAATAAAAATAAAAAAATAAAAAAAAATAAAATAGTACTTAGACACTACGACGAGCTGCGAAGTTGGTCAAATGTCGGCAAGTTGACGGCGCCGCAGAACGATGCCCACGGCGCGGCCTCCAAAACGAAGCAGCGCCGGCAAATACGGCAGGAACGAAGAAGGAAATACGGAGGCAAATGTGGGGAGAAGAAAGAGACTTGGATCATCCATGTTTTTTTTGTGCAACTTCCTTGGAGCTAAACGCACCTGCTAAGGCTGCTGCGTGGGCCACTGTGCCTGCCTGCCTGTCCCACTTCCATCTGCCGACACACGCAGGCACAGGCACGAAAAATGCGTTGAGCTCGCTTTCCTTCTTTTTATTTATTTGGGCTGCGGGGCTGTAGTAACACAGACGGCAAGCGGCCACGAGGAGGCCGACGATCGCCTCCATTCCGCCATCCGCCAGCACGATGTCCATCACCGGCGTACTCCCGGAGAGTGAGTGGCAGGTGCCGTCCAAGACTAAGTACTGCCAGTACCAGGATTGCGGCGCCACCTTCGGGATCTTCAGCAGCAAAACAAACTGCCGCCGCTGCGGCATCGTGCTTTGCTCCAGCTGCGTTTGCAAGTGCAACTGCATCTCCGGGCACTACAGGGACAAGCCGCAGAGTGTCTGTCCACGCTGCCTCGAGGTCATCGAGCGACAGAAAATACTCATGGCAAGTGCGGTGGCGGGACGGCTGCCATCGACACCTCAACGAAGACAAGTGGCGGAAGCCACGGCCGCAAATTCCCTCGCCACGAAGCACGACAAGGAGACGCAGTTGCTAGAAACGATACACAAACTCCATGAGCAACTCGAGGAGGAAAGCAGAAGCACTAAAGAGGCCCTCACAACCTCGCAGCATGCAATGGGACCAACGGCACAAAGGGAAGGGGACATCAGCAAAACTTTTCAAGAATCACTTGCTCAAGAAGAGAAACAGGATAAAGGCACAACAATAACACCATCATCTAAAGAAATTCAACGCCACCACATTACAAAACAAATTACAACTCCAGAAAATAGTGCGGAACCCAAAAAAACACCCGGATCTGAGCAGGAAAATTGCGAGGATAGACAAACAATGCTGGGCCACACCAATGAAAACACGACTAGACCAACAAATATACATGAAGAAACATCTTCGTGCATTACACAATTAGGATACGAGCGCAACGGCCTGCAGGACGAGGTGCGGGAGGCTCGCGGGGCTGCGGCGCAGCTCGAGGCGCAGTTGCGGCAGTGTAGCGTGGACCGCGAGCGGCTGAGCGACGAGCTGCATGCGACGCCGACGGGCTGCGTGCGCGGCTGGACGAATTGGCACGCGAGCGCAACGGCCTGCAGGACGAGGTGCGGGAGGCTCGGGGGCTGCGGCGCAGCTCGAGGCGCAGTTGCGGCAGTGTAGCGTAGGACCGCGAGCGGCTGAGCGACGAGCTGCATGCGGACGCCGACGGGCTGCGTGCGCGGCTGGACGAATTGGCACGCGAGCGCAACGGCCTGCAGGACGAGGTGCGGGAGGCTCGGTGGGGCTGGCGGCGCAGC